ATTTCATTTCCTGATACTCTATTGATTCTCAAAAGCACTGTATCCACTTTTAATTAGGGTTTTAAGTGTAAACTTTCGAGCCAGCGTTTCATTTTTTGTGTTGTATTTTAGCCTCCGACCACTAGTTGGCAACAGTCAATCAGCCATTTTGCTGTTGCAAGAAGAAACGTGAAATTGTTCTCTTTGCATAAAAATAAACTGAATTTAATCAGATTTTATGCATGTAATGTAAGGTGTGCTTTTTATGCTGAATTTGTAAAAATTTGAATCTATAGGAAAAAAAAAAGCCAATATATCGCCTTGCTTACAGTATCACAATATATTGCAATGCATCATATCATGACCCATGTTGTGATATGCAGGGGATTTGACCTTTAGGGTTGGTTCGTGAGAAGATTTTGGTTGGTGCAATTTCCAAAATCTCACTGKTTATTTACATACATTCACATACAAAATTATTAGTTTTGTTTGGATTTTGAGTGTTAACTACACCGGATACATGTTACTGCGACTGGCAGAGGTGTGCGCCCTACAAGTGCTTCCAAATTTTAGGAGTGTTTAAAATTGTCACCGGTGATATAACAAATTCTTACCAATACAGAGTCAAATCAAAGTACATCTTGTGTTTGTCAGATTTCCTAAAGTTAACTTTAGACCAACAGACAGGAGCTTTTCACCTGAGTGTCTGCTGCAAAGTGAGCAGTTTGTTAGCTCACGATGTCCTTCGTTGAGATAATTTAATGTTGAAAGAGACACGCCCGACATTCTGTAATGTGTGCAATTCAAACATTTACAGACGTTGTGACATGTTGTGAAAGAATTAAAAGTTAGAAACAAACCTAAGCACGTTTGCAGAGGAACAAAGAGACAGGATTCAAAAAGGMTTTTTTTTCTTCCCATCTTTTTATAGGTAACGTTTGTCTTTTGTGAAAAATGTGAGATTTGTAAATGTAGACAACATGTTGGGAAACTTCTTATCCAACTAAAGTGCTCAGCAAACTCCATCCAAAGTCACCATTTCAGCTCTCGTTGATGTAGCTGTGTGACCAAAATTMTGTCATTTTGTTTCAGAGTGGCCCAAATCTTCTTGACCCAAGACCCAGGCTGAACTTTTTTTCATGATTATGTACAATGTATTGTGTGACTGGTCAGGCATTCATGAGCATGTTTCTGCACTTCAGCTACTCTGCTTCCAGAGGCCGAGTGTTGTACGCCCAAACAACATGGAAAGTTCTGAGGAGCGRGTGGTCGAGACCGTCAAAAAGTACAGCTATATGACTCTTTCTGACACTTATAGAGAGGCAAGTGGCCCAAAATGGAAATAACACAGATGTGAACGAAAGAGCTATATCTATCAGTTTTTGTTACCACTTTACAATAAGGCTCCCCTTGTAGAGGGCTTATAAATGTTTTATAGATAGGTTATTAATTTATCTGTAAACACTTTGTAAATTATTAAGAAGTGTTTATTATGCATTAATTAAGGACGAGAAAGAGACAAAACTGTCCTGTTTGGTGCCAAATAGTGAGCCAAATATGTTCATAGTGCATCTAAAGCTGCTGCATTAAACATTTCAGACTAGGTTTCTACCTTGTAAGCACAATAAWGTATTGTAAACACTACTGCATTATTATTCCAACACATTGTTGTGCTTACAAGGTAGAAACCTAGTCTGAAATGTTTAAMATATGGAGCACKTTTAGATGTAYRAAGAARATGAACAGATTTGGCTCACTARTTGGCAAGAAACCAGACAGTTTTGTTTTTTTCTCATCTTTAATTAATACATAATAAACACTTCTTAAAGATTCATAAAGTGTTTACAGATGAATTAATAACMGTTTATAAGCCATCTATACTGTAAGTGGAGTCTTATCATAAAGTGATACCCAGTTTTGTGGCTAAAAGGGCCGATCCTGTGCTGTGATGTGACAAACACAGACTGATGTTAGCATTAACTGTGCTAACAAGGCTAATAGCATTAAGGAGATGTTAAAAACTGTCAGCTTTATAATAACTACATAGAGCGGCGTGACGTTTCATATAAACACACAGTGTAATGCAGCTTATTCTCAGAAAAAAAGAAAAAAAAACAATTTATGTCTGACAGTCTTAATAAATGATGACACCAGGTGGTTGTTATTTGTTTGGCATAGCAGCTATTCAAACAATTTTTCTCACTTTTTTACCTTTAAAACAAAACGTTGATTTAACCTTTGCTACTTATTTTAACTTATTTGTCACCGATTCTGTTCATTACTTTCATGGACAGAATTTCTAGGCGCAGCCGAGGTGTTGAGGGGATCCGTTT